ATATTCATTTTGTCTTAACTCGATCGATCTAACGAAACACTACCTGTCGACCTCACCAAACACCAAATCCATAGTACCGATGATAGCCACTGCATCGGCAAGCAGATGGCCTCTTGATATCTGGTCCATGCAGGCCAAGTGTGCAAATCCGGGTGCCCTGATCTTGCACCTGTATGGCCTCTCGCTACCGTCTGAGACAAGGAAGACACCCATTTCTCCCTTGGGTGCCTCAATGGCAGAGTAGGTCTCGCCAGGTGGAACAGTGTAACCCTTGCTGAAGAGCAAGAAGTGGTGAATGAGAGCCTCCATGTTCTCCTTCATGGCGGCACGTGGTGGGGGAGCGATCTTGTAGTCCTCAACCTTGACAGGGCCAGCAGGCATCTGGTTCAAGCATTGGTGGATAATGCGAAGAGATTGACGGAACTCCTCCATACGGCAGAGGTACCGGTCGTAGCAGTCACCGTTGACACCGACTGGGACGTCAAACTCAACCTGGTCATAGGCATCGTATGGCTGAGACTTTCGGATGTCCCATGGAACACCAGATCCACGAAGCATGACACCGGAGAAGGAGTAGTTGATGGCATCGGCAGCTGGGACGACACCGACACCCTTGGTACGGCCGATCCAGATACGGTTGTCCGTCAACATCTCTTCAGTCTCATCAATACGGTCACCGAATTGGGTGGCCCATTGGTAGATGTCATCAAGCAGACCGAGAGGAATATCCTGCGAAACGCCACCGGGGCGAATGTAGGCTGCGTGGAGACGTGCACCAGAGACACGCTCGTAGAATTCCTATCATTATCAGCATTTGGACACAATATGTCAAGGTTGAACTCAGCATCAACCTACCATAAGTTTCTCACGCTCCTCGAAACCCCACAGGAAAGGCGTCAGTGCACCAACGTCCATGGCGTGGGACAAGACGGACATGAGATGGTTTAGAATGCGCGTGATTTCAGCAAACAGGGTCCGGATGTACTTGGCACGAATGGGAATGTCAATGTTGAGCAGTTTCTCAACAGCCAGTGAGTAACATTGCTCATTGGTCATCATGGACACATAATCGAGACGGTCAAAGTAGGGCAGAGCCTGGAGGTACGTCCGGTACTCGATCAGCTTCTCTGTGCCTCTGTGGAGCAGACCAACGTGCGGGTCAGCGCGCACAATCTCTTCGCCATTCAGCTCGAGAATCAAGCGCAACACACCGTGGGCAGCGGGATGCTGGGGTCCAAAGTTGACAGTGTAATGGCGGATCTTCCTGGTGTCTACGTGATCGTCCTCCTCAGCGCGGGTCTCCTGGGTCTCAGCAGGGGCAACGCCTGCAAAGTTGGAATCGGTGGCAACCAAGCGCGTGCGCTGGCTCTCGTCGACCTGGGCATATCGGCGGGGCAGTGAGGTCGACAGGCACCGCGCAATGGGTCGTGAAGGGAATGCGGATCGGACGTGGGAACGGGAGGCGTTCAGGCACACCCGCTTCGCCGCGGGGCCGGCCAGACGCGCAAAAGAGACGGGCATGGTGATTCTGTCTCTCTCTCTACCGCGATTGTGGAGCCTCAATGGGCATGTAGAGTGGAGAGCGAGGTCGTGGCGTTGGAGGGGAGCTTTCCTCACATCGATGATGCTTCCAGATTGGACCCGCCGCCATTGGCTGCCCGGGCCTTGGCGTGGCCGCCGCTTGCTCGAACTTTTTGTGAAGATGCAACTTGCTACCCACCAAAAACACCAAATCTTGAAAGCAACGCCGCAACAATGTCGAAACCAAGCGCGCAAGAGCTCATGAGGCGCAAGGTACTTATGCGACTCGGAATACACAAGAAGAATTATTCTAACAGCACTTACAGACGCTTCAAGTCGGCCCCGAGACTGTTATGAACCAGCAGTCTACCGACTTTCCAGGACACTGGCCGGGAGAAGACCACGAGTGGGACTTGGATTACTTCAAAGAGGTATGTGCAGCGCATCTTCTGTCATTTTGCAGCACAATTCAACTCACATTTTCTAGAACTTCAACGTCACCTTCCATAGCCATAGTCCCTTCGACACACAATTCTCTCTTACTGGCATTGATACCTCGGTAGCCAACGCCTTTCGCCGCATACTCCTCTCCGAGATCCCTACGCTTGCCATAGAAGATGTCTTTATCTACCAAAATACGTCCATTATCCAAGACGAGGTACTTGCTCATCGCCTAGGTTTGGTGCCCTTGTGCGGCGACCGCGAGGGCCTGCGTGCGATGAAATGGTACTCCAAGCCCACTGAAGAAGACCCTGAGTCAGGCACACCAACTGACTGGAACACTGTGGTACTGAGACTGGACGTGGAATGCAAATGGCAAGAAGGTGGTCTGCAGAGAGCAGTCGCAGGCGAAACCGATCCCGACAAACTATACGTAGGCCACAACGTCTACGCTAAAGATATTGAGTTCAAGCCCATAGGCCGCCAAACCGAACTTTTCTCGTCCGAACAAGGGAAAGAAATACGCTCCACCAACCCAGACATCCTAATTGCGAAGATGAGGCCGGGCCAGAGCATAAACCTCAGCATGCATGCCATCAAGGGAATTGGACAGGACCACGCCAAATTCTCCCCTGTAGCAACAGCTTCCTATCGCCTGATGCCTACAATCGATATTATCAAGCCTATTGTTGGACCTGACGCCAAAAAGTTTGCGCGCTGCTTCCCTCGCGGCGTTATCCGCCTTGACACGGTTACTGAGACTGATGTCAAACAACACCCGGAGCTTGAGGGCAAGGAAGGCGAGGCCAAGGCCGTGGTGGCAAACGCTATGAACGACACAGTCAGCAGGGAATGCCTGCGACACCCAGAGTTCAAGGACAAGGTCAGGCTTGGACGGATACGGGATCACTTTATCTTCCGGGTAGAGAGCACGGGCCAGTGGGAGAGTGACGAGCTATTCTTGGAAAGTATCAAGTTGCTTAAGATCAAGTGCCAAAGGATAAAGCGCGGACTCGAGGAAATGAACAAATAGACGCAGCGAGGCAAACCATGCATTTCCAAAGGCGTTCCACGGGCATTTATTGGTGGCGGGGTTCTTTTTTTCTTCTCACTTTCTCCATCCCGAAAAAAGTTTACGATATCACGGAGTTACTCTCCCTCTCGGCTGGACGACATTCATTGCATGGAGCACACGAGCAACATGTATTGCAATAGATTACTATTGGTTGTATCATACATTCACCTCGTGCAATCTTTCAAATTTCTTCTCATACAATCCTCCCAGTATACAAACTCATGTGTCGGATCATCTACTAGAACAGCGGAAACAGTAAAACAAAAGCCAGTAGACCAGTAATGGCAGGAAATGGAGAAAGGGAACATACAAGATGGTATATGAACAAAAAACAAACGAAAAGGCCTACCGAATTGGGGTATACGCTCTTCATCTCCTGCAGCATTTTGCTGAACATGTCAATAAAAGAAACAGAAAGCGATATGTATTCAGAACTCCCGCAGCATCACTGGATCTCGTCTCGTGGTCTGGCGGCTACTAGAGCTCTGCCAGCGCTTCGTCACACAGCTTGCGTATGCTTCCTGGATCGAACCTTGGACGCCACGCCATTTGTTTCCTCTTATTTCGAAGTTCCTCTTTTTGGTGTTGCGGCAGATCGCTGGTTCGAGGAAACTTGAGCTGTGACTTTGTCGGTGAAGCTGAAGGATTCGGGAATGTGAATTTGGAGTCGTGGGCACCAGTGCTCTCCTTCAGCGTGAGTACACTGGTGAGGTGACCTTGCAGCATACCAACAAATGTTGATGTGCCGAGTGGGAAACGGACTTTCGCTACAGGCTCAGGTCGTACCGGATGCGTTGATAGAGGCGAGAGCATGCTCGAGTTGTCAATATGGCTTGACCGGGGGTTGGAGGTAACCTCGAGGAACGTAGGTGTACTGGTTCGGGGCGGCGACGGAAACGAGAAACCCTTGAGCTCGAAATAGATATCTTTTTCTAGGTCGAAGGGGTCGGACATGGTGCTTGATGATGAAGTGCGACACGAAGTGCTCAAGTTGGATGATTTTGTCTTTAAGCGGTCGAGCCACACGTGCTCTTCCGGGAACGTAGCGGATTCTGGCGTTGAGGGGTGCTCATCGTCCAAAGTTGGGGTTGAGCAAGTCGATGATGGCAACGACAGGGCGGCAATGGCAGCACGGTAATACTCTTCCGCAGCAACAAGCTCATGGTGACGGTTTTTTATTGTGGCCTCCCTCGCCAGAGTGTCGTGTGATAGCGCAGTGTAAAAGTTAAGATATGCCAAGTGAACCGGGTGCATCTGCCAATTGTTAGCCCCTTCTTGTTGTGGTCGATAGGGAAGGCGCAACGTGTATGTTTACTTACACTGCTATCCACCTCGCCTAGCAACCGTTCCCCAGACTTTGCGCACCGCGTGTAGTGCCGACTAAGGTACAGATCCTTGAGCACCTGCATCTTCTGCTTCATTTCGCAGTGTTTCGTTTGGCCCACCATTTTTCTCAAGTATGTTTTTTTTTTATATTTTGGAATTTTTTTGTCAGTGGTTGGTTGTAGAAGAAGACTCCAGGTCGGTGTGGGGAAAGTCGTGGTAAGAGGAGGAGCTGTCGCCGGGATCAGCCCGAGCAGGGGAGGTAAGGAGAGGAACAACAGGTGGAAAGAAGCACAGCTTATGAGTAAAGTGAAGCCGGCTTCGAGGGGGCTGCCGACTTGGTCGAGCCAACGCGGAGAAGAGCCAGATGAGACAAGGTATTAATAAAACCACCCTATAGAATGAGCAGGAGGAAACCGAATGCGTGTAATAATGGTCCTTCTTGTGGGCGGTTGCTATCTCAACGCTTCAGGGTACATGCCTGCTGTCCGAGGAGGATGACAAAAATGGGGCCGCTACCAGAGCATCCTGGAGAACCGTACACTACGAACCGCAACAAAAGCAGAAAGGAACATCTATACAACGCCACGATATATAACGGTTTCCTGGTCTTGCGCCGGCCCCACTGTTCCTGTCAGTTGAACAGGTGCCGGAGAGATGCGAGGAGCGGTTGTTTCCAATCGTATGCAGTCATGTTTCAGCAGTCCTCTACTTACCTTATCCAGTGTTGAGCTTACCGCACCGGGTCAGGTACCCCACTAGTCTGCCCTGTTCACGCGAGAAAAAGCCTCCGCAACACCCCTCCCCTTCGCCTCAACGAACGCTTTTTCGTTCGCCAAGTGGCCGCAAAAACCGAGACTGGACATGCCAAGTTTAGACATCGCCTAAGTAAGACGTTTTCTACAGTCGTATGTTTCTTCTGATTCTGGCCGAGGTGGTACGTTGGGGCACATGACTCTTGTTTGCACCAAGTCTGCGACCATACCCATCAATACAAGTACTTATCCAGAGGACCCGCATTCATATATCATAGTTGGCGTAATAAGATAGCCGGCACTCACACATGACACATGTCGGCACAGGGTGAATACGATAAAGTTTCCGTCAACTTGCTGACACACGAGAGTTGTGGGTAGATATTTATTCTATACAGCCCAGGGGGAGATGGAACCATAGTCTCGGGATATCAAGTCCCATGCTACTCCAACGTTTAACCCTCCGAAGCGGCCGCACCAGTAATGATCTCGACAAGCTCGCCAGTAATGACGGCTTGACGTGTTCGGTTGTACAGAATCTGAAACTTGTTAATCATCTCGCCAGCGTTCTTGGAAGCGTTGTCCATGGCGTTTTGACGCGCCGACTGCTCGCAAGCGTGGCCCTCGGCCAGCGCCCAGTAGAGCGAGTTGGCAAGAGCGTACTCGCGGAGGTTGGGAAGAACCTCGTCCTCAATCTCGAAAGCGGAGAAGTTGGCTGTATAAAAGGTCAGAGTACAGTCTCTTGTCGTGCAACACTTGACATACCGGACTGAGCAATAGCCTCCTCAGAGTAAGCTTCCTGGATGATGGGCTCGTAGCTCGAGGCGTTGATGAACTTGTTGTAGACAATCTTGACGGAGGCGTAGTCGGTGGGCAGCAGGGAAATCTGGTCGGCAATGCACAGAGAGTCGGCAAAGGTAGGCACGTCCTTTCCGGCACCAGCGAAAGAAAGAACCATGTTCTTTCCGTTGGAACGACCCAACTGAGCCTTGCACTTCTCACCAATGACGGCCAAATCCGCATCCGGCGTCTCAGCGAGCATCCTCCTGACCTTCCTCGACATTCCAGAGTGAATACCACCGCAGAGACCCTTGTCCGAGCTGCAGACGATGATGAGGTTCTTCTTGCCCTCACTCTCAATTGGCTTGGTCTCGGCATTCTCGAAAACCTCGTTGGAGGTCTGACCGTACTTGCGGGACTCAAACATGGCCTTTTGGGCGCGGGTAAGCTTGGTGGAGGCGACGACCTTCATGGTCTTGGTGATCTTCTCGATGTTGCGGATCGACTTGAGACGGCCCTCAATTTCACGAAGGGTGGCATAGCCGGCGGCATTGGTGGCGGTAAGGGCGGCGGGCCTAGATAGAAAAGTCCCAGTCAGCAATGGATGCAATTGGCGATGCAATTGGCGGTGCAATTGATCCGACAATGGGGGGGTTGCGAGGTGCGAGAAAAGCTGCGAACTCGGACGGGAGCGTACCGGGCGACGGCGGCGGCCATGCCGGCCTTCAGAGCCGGGCGCGCAGCTCGTGACAGCATCATGGCTACGAATTGAGATGAGTGGAGATGGCGACAGCCGTGTGGTGGTGCTCTTCACTGCTGTCTTTGCTGAACGGAAGCTGTGTCGGGCAATCGGGACGCTGAATTGCTTTGCGCGCTAAGACGCCAAGTGTCACGTGAGACCATCCATTACAGAAGACCTGCTTCACCAGTTGTACTCGACTGTTTCACGTTGAGAGGCATTCAAATACAGTCAACTGTGCATTCTGTGCTACTGCTCTTTTTACACCCAAGAGAACAGGACTAAACTCGGCATTGTGGCGCGACACAATTAGCTGGACTTAGCCAGGAGCGATCCAACAAACAGGTGGCAGGCATTACCCAAGTCTCACGAGGTGAGTAAATGCACCCAGAAAAAACTCCAGCTGTTTTTCCGCTGTCATCTGTCGGTCTTGTAGTCGGCATGTAATGCGTTGGCTGATCAGCTCATGACGTCGGGCAATTTGTTGCGAAGAGTTGCTGACCCAGATTTGGTGAAGGCCGAACGACCGTGCGTTGGTGGACTTAGTAGTGAGCACAAGTGGTGGCTCCTTGGGGCTGCGCTTCACTTAAACTCAGCATTCCTCTTTTTCCGTTCATCTATCACCCACGTCCTGCTACCATTCATCTCACCTCCGCCACCATCGCTTCAATCGTACTGCGAGTCTGCCGCTGCAAGGCACGCGTTCTTCCGCTATTCCCACCCTTGTACAGGGCCGCCTCCACTGCTTCCGCACGGTCGACTCGGTCTGCGCCAAACCTTGCTGCAGTCCCACGATCTGTTTTCTATCGCCTGCAAGTTAAGCACGCGCCGATCGTGGACAACATGTCATCTTCCGGCGACGATACTCCTCTTGTGCGAGGGAACGATCAAGGTGAGTTCGTCTACGATAGTACTTTTTGCACGCGCTACGGCTATCTCATTCTCACGCGCCGATCGCCCTTGTTGAATTCCGCTCTTTTCACCACCCAACCTCACCACTTTCACTCCACCTCCTCGACTGTGTTCGTTTTACCCTCGTCCGACGTATTTTTCACGCTTTGAATAAAAGACTGGAGAAGGCTAACATATTTGTCTTACAGTAAAGTCATCGGAGCGCATCACCGACGAGGAAGACAAGAGGATGAATGCGGAAGCACCTTCAAATGGACATGTCGAACCCGGCATCTCTATTCGCATGGGACCCATCGATGACAGTAAGATGGATGTCGATGCGCCGGAGACGAATGGCAACGTCAACGGAAAGCGCAAGGCGCGCACCAGCGCAGCGAACGGCAAATCATACAAGGACGCAAGCAATTCGGAAGACGATGACAAGCCTCTGGTGCGTCTCTTTGTGCGAAGTGTACGTACATTTTGTTAAGCTAACTATTCAGCAGAGCAAGCGGCGGCGGACATCACAGCAGGTGAAGCCAGTCAAAGACGATTCCGATTCGGAACTCAGCGACGTGCCTCTCAAGGCTAGGGTACTTCCGAAGGCGAGCGCGGAGCAAATTGGAGAGTCGGCAGACTCTGACGTGCCTCTAGCCACGAAGCTCACCAAGAAAAAAGAGTCGATTGAGAAAGCTGCTGCAAAGGAGGCAAAGGCCATGCGTAACAAGGAAAAGGCACCCCCAAAGCGCAAACAAAAAGCAGAAAGCGACAGCGAGGACGACGTCCCTCTTGCAAAGAAAAAGGCCCCAGCAAAGAAGACGAATGGCGTCAAGAAAGAGGAGTCTGACTCAGATGCGCCACTCGCCAAGAAGTCCGCTTCAAAGACTACCAAGGCAAAGGCTGCCGCCGCGGCACCAGCGAAGGGCAAAGGCAAGGTGAAGAAGGAGACTGAGGAGGATCAGCAGGCTGAAGACGAAGAGGACGAATATCGCTGGTGGGAAGATCCAGGCAAGAGCGACGGCACCAGGAAATGGGAAACACTCGAGCACTCTGGTGTTGTCTTTCCTCCCGAGTACGAGCCACTGCCCAAGCATGTCAAACTGGTCTACGATGGCGTGCCTGTCACTCTGCACAAGGATGCCGAAGAGGTGGCTACTTTCTACGGAAGTATGCTTAACTCGACGCATAACGTCGAAAACCCAACCTTCAACAAGAACTTCTTTGAGGACTTCACTGCCATCCTAGACAAGACGGGACATGGTAAAGACAAGAACGGAAACACTGTCAAGATCAAGAAGTTTGAGAAGTGTGACTTCAAGCCCATCTTCGAATGGTTCGATTCTGAGCGCGCGAAAAAGAAGGCTCTCTCGGCGGCAGAGAAGAAGGCGCTCAAGGCCGAGAGGGAGGCTGCGGAGGCGCCGTACATGTACTGCATGTGGGACGGTCGTAAGCAAAAGGTCGGCAACTTCCGCGTCGAACCGCCGGGCCTGTTCCGTGGTCGTGGTGAGCATCCCAAGACAGGTCGTGTCAAGAAGCGTGTCATGCCCGAGCAAATCACCATCAACATTGGCGAGAAGGCCAAAGTTCCTGAGCCGCCTGCGGGCCATCGTTGGAAGGAGGTCAAACATGACCACGAGGGTACATGGCTCGCCATGTGGCAAGAAAACATCAACGGTGCCTACAAGTATGTCATGCTTGCCGCCAACTCGGATATCAAGGGTCAGAGTGACTTCAAGAAGTTTGAAAAGGCCCGAGAGCTCAAGAAGCACATTGACCGTATTCGCAAGGATTACCGCAAGGACTTGAATTCCAAGATGATGGCCGATCGGCAACGTGCTACTGCCATTTACCTTATCGATCAGTTCGCTCTTCGTGCTGGTAACGAAAAAGGAGAAGATGAGGCGGATACGGTAGGCTGCTGCTCGCTCAAGTTTCAGCACATCACTCTGAGGCCTCCGGAGACGGTCATTTTCGACTTTCTGGGTAAGGACAGTATTCGGTTCTACGACGAAGTCAAGGTGGATCCGCAGGTCTTCAAGAATTTGAAACTGTTCAAGAAGGAGCCCAAGACGACTGGTGATGACATTTTTGATCGCTTGACGACTTCGGCGCTCAACAAGCATCTGACCAGCTACATGCCCGGTCTTACTGCCAAGGTCTTCCGTACCTACAATGCGTCGTATACTATGGCTAGGCTGCTGAAGGAGATGAAGCCTACCGGTACTATCCAGGAGAAGGTGAAGGCGTACAACGATGCGAACCGTGAAGTTGCAATTCTCTGTAACCACAAGCGTACCGTTGCTGCCAACCACGCCAACTCGATTGAGAAGATGACTGAAAAGGTGAGTTTGGTTTGTGCAGTTCGTTGAAGGCCATGCTAACAGGGGTAGATTAATGGACTTCGTTATCAAGTGTGGAGAACCAAGATGATGATGATTGACGTTGACCCCAAGATCAAGAAGAAGAAGGGAGCCGAGTTTTTCGAACGGCCCGAGGATCTCGACATGGAGTGGGTCAAGGCGCATCAGGATGCCGAGGTCGAGGAACTGCGCCAGAAGATCATCAAGAAGTTCGAAAAGGACAACGAGAAGCTCAAGGCCGAAGGAGAGAAGGAGATGAAGCCCAAGGAGCTGGAGGAGCGTCTTGAAAAGGCGGATGAGCTTGCGGCAAAGTACAAGAAGGAGAACAAGACGGGCAAGGTTGAGGCCGAGGGCAAGGGTCCGACGATTGAGAAGCTCGAGGGCAACATCGACAAGCTCCACCAGCGCATTGAGAACATGAAGATCCAGATGGAAGACAAGGAGGGCAACAAGGAGGTTGCCCTGGGCACGTCGAAGATTGTAAGTGGCCTGGTTGGACGGGTATCTAGGAAGCGATTGCTGACAGGGTGCAGAACTACATTGACCCACGTCTTACTGTGGTGTTTTCCAAGAAGTTTGATGTGCCGATTGAGCGCTTCTTCTCCAAGACGTTGCGTGAAAAGTTTGACTGGGCCATCAAGTCCGTGGACGAGAACTGGGAGTTTTAAGGGAAAACATGCAAGAGGCGTTTTTTTGATTCGTCTATGTGCATTTTTGTTGGGGGGAAGGGGTGGGCAGCATGAGGGGGGTTATATACATAACATATAGCATGAATGGGGGGTTGATGGGACAAGGGGTGAAGTGTGAAGGGTACACACAAAAAAAAAGCATGGCATCTCTCTTGTGTAGGTCGAGTATGCAGGCAGGGCGGGCAGGCAGGCAGGGTTTCAGCAGGCATGGTTTGCGAGTTTATTTTATCATATGATTTAGGCGACTAGTTATCTTGCATGGCTACGAAAAGGAAATATTGACAGCAGCAAGCTAAGTAGGGTATAGTAATATGCTTTGAGCAGAGATGATGTGCTTTGTGTAATGGAAGGCGTGCATTATGCAAGTGCGGGTCGATCATAACGGGCTGCAGCTTCCGTGCATGAACAGCCGTTCTTGCTTGTCGACACCGACGATGCTGCCCAGGCATGAAACAGTGGCATCTGGCGGGGGGACCTGGAAAGTGTGCGTTGGATGGAAATGGGACGATTGCAGGGCGTAGCCTTTTTTTTTTGTGCAAGAGTGAATAGAGAGTACAATGCTTACATATATATATGTCTATAGTATACACATGTACACGTAAGTACCTACCTGTATATGTGCAAACTAGCCGACGGGCTTGGGGATGGCGTCACCAGCCGTTGGCGGTGGCTCCCCAACCCAATGCATGGGCTCATGCAATCTTGCAGTGTGACTGGTACCTGGGCGGGCCAGAGTCATGAAGGCTGGATTGGGATCAAGAGGCGCCGCCGCAATGGCCCCACCAAGAGTGGCCGTGGGTTGTGGCGGACGTGGGCGGGTGTGTGTGTGCTTGGTTGTCTCTGAGCATTGCGTGCATGTGTGCAGGCTCCGCGGAGGCAAGCCTGGTGTTGACCATGCAAGCACGTTCCGACGTTGAACTATAGGGACGCGCCCCAGACGCCCGAGAGCAAAGGCGAAGAGATGCATAACATAGCGGCTCCACAGTCATTTGCTTTTTTTGCAGCCCTGACTGGTGCGAACGGTTGCTTGCCCAGCCTGACATCTGGAGAAAGTGGCCATTGCAAGGCTTGTCGGGTCTACTTACTGGGTGCTGCCAGTAGGTTTCTTCTTGCAAGGGCCGGCCTGGTAGAAGCCCAACGACTCCAGCATTTCAGCAACGGAACCTGCCCCTGAGACGCCTCCCCACTTTGGGCTGTCATGAGACCCAAGGCTTGTTGCTAGACGTGTGCTTCAGCACTGCGGGAGCGCGCCGACACGCCCTTCACCGCCCGCCTGACTGCTGTTCATCTCCCGCCGCAACCGCCTCTGCTTGCACACTCCCACCCCTCAAGAGCCAAGGGCAAACGTCATCCTGTCAAGGCGCCGTGATGTGACGTGACCTACCTAGTACTACTCTTGAACCATTCCCCCAGCCCCAGATGTCTCTCGGCCAACACAGGTGCCGTTGCAAAACCACAGCATCAATGAACCATGGCCAGGCTAATCTCGGTCCGCTGACGGGGCCAGTACCAGTCGTTCGTGTGTGTGTGTGTGTATGTCTGTGTGTATATGTGTGTGCTTTGGTTTGGCCGGGCGACGAGTGCCCGACTACGGCGTGAGATCGGGGGAAGGGAGGGAGCAGGCGGGGAGAGAACCATGTCCCTTTTTTTCGATACGAAGAGACTCCTGGACGGCTTCTGGTACCAAGAGAATTGCTGCTCCCCATTGTCGGCCTGACTGCCTCGTGCTGCAGGTCAATGAGTCGGCTAGATTGGGCCAGGGTTATATGACATCGTCGTGCCGCGATACCCTACACTTTTGAGCCTCTGTCTCTTGGTGGGAAGCCACTCACTAGTCTTCTCGTCCCAAACCCACGCCCGCCATTGCGAAGACTGCACCGCACCGCACCGCACAGCCCAAGCCCACGCCGGCCCGCTGCCTACGCATACGAGAGCAACCAAAGGCCTCGCCCGTGCCTACACACACGCCACCCTTCTCCCTTTGTCAGCCCGTCTCGTGCAACCACACGTCTGGGGTCTGAGCGTTGAGCATTGAGCGCGACCCGCAACCCCCGAATTTGACATTACAAGACACCATCCGCCCACTGCGTCGCCCCAAATTCTCCTAGCGATCTCGTTGCGCACTCAGTCTGCGTAGATCGAACCCTGACGCGACGCACACCATGGCCTCAGACAAGCCTGCGGTCCTCATAATAGGCGGACTCGGTAACGCTGCCCTCGCTGCCACGCCCACGGCCAGAGATAAGACGCGAGAGGACTAACAAACCCGTTCCAGGTTATACCGGACGACACCTATGCAAGTACATCTACGACAACAACCTCGCTTCCGAATTACGCATCGTCGACAAACATCTGCCAGAGTTGGCGTGGCTGGCCCCAGAGTTCAAGGACGCCTGCTCGAGGGAGCGCTTCATCCAGGCGGACGCGGCACAAGAACGTGCGTATCCCTTGCTCACCACCTACACAACTATCCATGACACAGACATACGCACAATCCTCACCCCCCTTCAAAACATGCTGGCCACAAGGCAATTCGAGACTGACACTTGTCCCTCCAGGATCCCTACCCCGAATATTCGATCGTGAGGGTGGTGGTGAGTTCGACTATGTATTCAACTGCGGTGGCGAGACACGCTTCTCTCAGGAGGAAAAAGTTTATGAACTCCGCTCCTATGGCCTCTCCATGAACATTGGCCGCGAGGCTGCAAAGCGCAAAGTAAAATGCTTCGTTGAGCTGAGTACCGGCATGGTCTACAAGCCAGAGAACATACCCCACAAGGAGACTGACAAGACGAAACCCTGGTCAAATCTGGCAAAGTGGAAGCTCAAGGGCGAGGAGGACCTGGCCAAGATTGAGGGCTTGAACCTTATGATTATGCGCATGGCTCACGTCTATGGCCCCTACACGAGCAAGTTTTTCAGCACGGCGCTGTGCATGGCGAGAGTATACCAGAGCATGGGCAAGGAGATGCGCTTCCTCTGGAAGGAAGACATGAAGACAAACTTGGTGCATATTGAGGACGCCACAAGGGCTCTGTGGCATGGTGCGCAGTGGTATGTCAAGGGACCGACCGCCCGCCGACCGCCACCCATTTTCAACATTGTGGACCATGGAAATACGTGTACGTTTCACTCCTTGGTGCTTGTGTTCTACCTTGGTCTCCATTACTCACAATACTTGTAGCACAAAAACACACGGCCGAGTTCATGGGCGAGATTTTCAACATCAAGACTGGCTTCCACGGCACCCTCATCTCCGCCTTTGCACGACTAAACCTCGACCATGTCGTCGACGAGGTCAACGAAGAAACACTAGACCCCTGGGCAGAGCTGCAGTCAAAGGCTGGGATCAGCCAATCTACACCGCTGACGCCTTACATGGAAAAGGAGCTGCTTAAAGACGCGGATCTGTGCATGGATGGTAGCCTGTTCGAGAAAGAAACCGGGTTCAAGTAAGCTACCCCACCCCCCACCTTGGCGTAGCTGCCAAATGAGTAGTAACCCAACAACATACTAACACCACACCAGATACAATGTGGAGAAGTGCACGAGGGAGAAGGTCGAGGAGGTCATTGAGAGCTACAAGAGAATGGGCTGGTGGCCGTAGCTTGGCTGCTACCTATTCCCGCGCCCGCTCCCTTTACCATATCACATTCCAACGATACCCTTTCTCTTACCACAACCTTTACTGGCCTTGTCGTAGTCTGCTTCTTCTTCTACTACTACTACTACTATTTTTTATTGTTTACCCGCTCTCTCTCTCTCTCTCTCTCTCCCGCGACCTAAACCCACTCAAAATACATACCCCCCCCCTTTTCTCTGCTATAATACCCCCAATCTACAAGGCATCAATCGATTGGTCAACATGTATCGCTCTTCCCCCTCCCCTTGCACTTGACTTGTACAACCTCGTCATACCTTGAAATAAGGGGGTACAGAGAACAAGAAAGAGAGGGGTTTTGTCGTTTGGGCATGGCAACAGCAGACTTGGCATGGCTTGGAGTTGCTCATTTCTGGTGCGGGTACGGTGAACTGGTCTCCCCCCTTCCCGCTCTTGGCAGCTTGTGGTCATATTATCCTCCCCCCCCCTCCTCCTCCTCCTCTTCTTCTTCTCGGAACCTGTTGGCTATTATCTGATATGGATGTGAATAATGCCTGGCTTGTGCATGTGTTTGGATCGCGTGGGAATTGCCTATCATTGTGTGGTAATGTTTTAGTGGTAATGGGGTAGTAGTCAAGTCAGTCAATCAAACGTTCAGGTTACAAGAAGACTAGCAAAGCCCCACCCAGAGGAACTTTGACCAAGATTCAATCAACCCCATCGCTCATCTCCGAAAAAGACACACAAACAATCAAAAGTGGGCATAGGCATTCAAGACGCAATCAGATTTATTGGGCCATTTCCCCAGCCTAGGGTGCTCTACATTGAATGAGTCCGACTATTGCACATATTGGTCTAACATTTGATATACTTGGCTGCTCGATGCGCTAGGTCGCTTATGCCTTTTGCGAGACAATCCCTACATATTATCATTAGCATGTGACACAAGAATCTATACTTTTGGTTCAAAACGCACTCTCAACGTCAGTGACGCTCTGGTCAAGAATCTGCTTGAGAGTCTTGGGGTTCTCGAGCTCCTTCTCAATCTTGGCAATGATGGACTCGGCAAGCTCGCGCTGCTGCCTCTGCTTGACCTGGCCCTCGTAGCGGACCCACGAGTCGAGGACAGACTTGGCCTCGGCGGCGATGGCAGTCTTCTGCTCGAGCTCGAAAGCCTGGGCCTCGAGCTGGGCGGTCTCCTGTGAAAATGGTCAGTCTGATACCCCTCCATCTCCCAAACGGAACCAGCGCACCTTAGAAACCTCGAAGAGGGTCTTGGTGACCTCAATGACGCTGCTGAGGTCCTGAACGCTCTCAATGCGCTGCTTGACGGCTGCGGTGTGGTCCTGGCGAGCAGAGTTCAAGATACCCGAGATCTTGTCCAACTGCTGCTGCGCATAGTCGCCCCACGCAGGTCCGGCGTACTTGGCAACGGCCCAGAAGATGGTGAGCAGAGAGAGAGCGACAATGGACTCCTCGTTGACGACGTAGAGCTCGTTGCTGATGGCGGCGACCGAGAGACCGGCTCCGGCAGAGAGCACGGCAGCCTTGGTGAGGGGGCTGTTGCCGGGAACGGGTATCGAGTCGAGGAGGGTCTGGGCCTTCTTCTTGGGGTCCTCCTGGGGCAGGTTGGAGTTGTAGCGGGCCTGCATGCCCATCGAGGGCAGGGCGCGGAGAGGAAGCGATGGGCGGAGACGGGCGGCGCCTGTTGTGCGTGAGCAATGGGGTCAATGGCATCGCATCTTCATCGGAACGCTGCTACTCACCGACCGCGCTCCTTGCAAGACGTGAGGCCATGGCTGTCTGATGAGGGGGTGCAGTTGGGGGTGCTGGTCGTCGTCGAGAGCTAGCTTTTCGTGATGTTGCGTACCAAACCTGAGCCAAGCACCGACGCCGATGCGCTAACCGAACTTCGCCCGGCCGGGGCCTGACTTTTTGGCATCGACAACTTTTTTGCGCCTGCACGTCATTCCACACCACGCGAAGCAGCGAGCTTCAGACGAAGATGGCGGGTACAAAATCTGCGACAATGTCTGGGGTCAAGAGAAAAAGGGACCCAAGCAAGCTAGAGCGCAGCGAATCCAAGTCGAAGAGCCGGCGCAAGTCCTCCAGCGAAGACGGCGACGACCTACAATCCGAAATCGTACAGCTCGAAGCCCAGATTCTCGAGTCGCGAAAGCACTACAACAACATTGCCACTCTTTTGCAGCGAGCCAAGCAGTCAGACGCCGAGAATGAGGGCCCAATACTGGCAGCTGTTGCACTATGCCGAGTCTTCTCGCGGTTGCTCGTCACGGGCGACATGGTGAAGAGCAAGGGTATGAGCGAGGCAGAGGGTGTTATTGTATCATGGCTCAAGGAGCGCTACCGGGAGCTCTGTAATATGCTTCTAGACGACTTCCTCCGCAGCGAGCACCCTCCAAAGCAGTCGGTAGCCTTGACACTGCTGATGCGATTGGTCAAGGAGGAGGCAAAGTCGCAGAAAGATTACAAGGTCAAGAACGGCCCTTTGCCTCGTCTTGTCGAAGTTCTACTACACCTCCCCTTAGACGACTTAAACCGCGAGGAGTTTGCGGAGAAGTACCTCAAGCAGTTTGATGATATTCGATATCAGACATTCCAAACTATCAAGTGAGTGCATACATGCCTGAACGTGAAGACCACGTATTAACATACTCAGAAAAACACTTGACGAAGACCTGGACATTACCACCCAGCAACTCGTAGCGGCAAACAGCATGTCCCTACTCTCCACCCTCGACCAAGTCCCCAAATCCAAAGCCGAGATTCAGAATTTTTACGTCGAGGTACAAGGAAAGAGCCCAATTCCATCTCTTCAGGCATACAAGGAGAAGGCCCAAGCAGCGTGGTTGGCGACGATGCGCACAGGGCTCTCAAAGGAGCAGCGAAAAACTATCTTGACCACCTTCTCCTACCAGATTGCGCCTTGGTTCCAGCAGCCTGAAATCTTGTCAGACTTTTTGACCGACTCGTACAACGTGGGCGGTGCAACATCGCTACTTGCACTGTCAGGAATCTACTACCTTATCTCAGAGAAGAACCTTGACTACCCATCCTTTTATTACAAACTCTACTCGCTTCTTGATGACGGTCTCCTACACTCGAAGCACCGATCACGCTTCTTCCGCCTCCTCGACACCTTCATGTCCTCGTCGCACTTGCCCGCTACTCTGGTCGCAAGCTTCATCAAGCGTCTGTCGCGCTTGGCGCTCCACGGACCGCCAGCGGGTATTGTGGTTGTAATACCCTGGGTGTACAACATGTTCAAACGCCATCCTGCGTGTACATTTATGATGCACCGCGAGATTCGGGATCCGGAACTCAAGGAGGAGGTGGAAGCAGAGGGCATGGATGACCCGTTTGATATGGATGAAGCGGACCCTTTTCTGACCAATGCTATTGAGAGCAGCGTGTGGGAGTTGGTAGCTCTGCAATCGCATTACCACCCCAATGTTGCTACACTCGCCAAGATTATCTCTGAGCAATTTACAAAACGATCATACAACCTAGAGGACTTTTTGGATCATTCCTACACTGCAGTAAGTCTTATGGTTTTGTCTTTTGTGATATGCTCGATACTGACAGCCCTTGTAGCTCCTCGACGTTGAACTAGACCGCGATCTCAAGAAGGAGCCAGAAGTCGAATTCGAGATACCAAAGCGCATTTTGACGGCAGACGAGGGGCTAAACCCCTTGGGTCAGCTTCTTACACATGTCATTGAGGCGAGGTGATGGACAGGCTAGACAGGTTAGTTTAGCAGGAGAAGAATGATACCCTCTGTTTGCCAGGACATTGTTTCTTTGCGTGAAATGTCTTTTGAATGATTGGATGTTGTTTATTGCTTGTCTCTCTTCTTCTTCTTCTTCTTCTTCTTCTTCTTCTGCCTATAAATGACATACAGAGAACACAGTAATACCAGACAGTTATTCAACCCCTGCAGTGCAGGTATTGCTTGTTGGGTACATGCTAGTTGCCAGTCATGACCACAGGATAGTGGCTACCGTAGCCGCACATGCTGTGGCGTCAAGGTACCAAGATAGCCAGGGCCAGACTCATCAGAGCGCCTCGGCAATTGCGACTAATGTTCTGTAGCGGCTTGTTGAGAAGGGAATGGCGCATCTAGGTGTACATAGAGTTTTTTGCGCATAAATGTTTCACGCCCCCAAGATGTGTTTGAAACGTGGATGTGAGTAAAAAACGCTAAAGGACCATGCTAGTACAGTGGCGAAAAATGGGGGGGGGGAGAAAGAAACAAGACAAGATACAGATGTGCTTTTTTGCTCCAATGTTCAACGCGAATGTCCCATAAGCATACAGTACGGAAGGCTTTTATCACAACATACCCATTGATGCAAACGATAATCCCCAACCTTACTATAAATTTCTAATCTCATCCCCTTGGCAATAAGTCGAGAAGGTTTATTCCCAGCGCCCTACGATTTTCGTTGAGCTGCCCATTTCCTTTCCTCCCTCCCCCCTTCCCCCCTTTTCCCTTTCCACCAACCCAAGAGAGAAAAAAAAGCAAAAATTCATATCCAAATATGTATAAAGGGAAAAGAAAAAGAAAAAGGAAAAAACACCAAGAGAGAGAGGTCCGAGAGCCAGGCACAAAATGCAAATCAAGGTTACATATGCATACCTACTTTAACCCGCTGGTTCACGTCAAAGCAAAAGCTAGTGTGTGCATTGGGGCGTCGGGGCTTCCGCATACGGGCATTAGCGCCAAAGGTAGGACTAAGAACCAAGGGGCTGTGCTTTGCTTATTTTCCCCCCCGCTATGGTTCGGGGCTACCCGCTGCGTGTCTCACTTGGATCCAAGGTAAGGGGGGGAAAAGGGAGTAAGCGATTACGAGGAGATGGGGGTTCGGGTGGGTATTGTTGGGTGATGGAGTTTGGCAGTCTGTGGTTTTGGCCGAATACCGTTGGGAGTTGGTTGGGGTCATGGCTGATTTTGGGTGCGGGAAGAGGGCAAAGGGAGCCAAGGCTGCGGATGTTGCCCCCCTCCCCTTCGTGCAGATCACGTGAGTTTAGATCTTCAGGTACACACATCCACTAGCGATAAGGATTGGTACCGCATAACGCCTTGCATGTGTAGAATCCGTCAACCTCCAAGCTACGAGAATGAAGACGGTTTTGGTGATATCTGTTGAAAGGGGCGATGCTTGGCTGGGACCATGGTGTTTGTTCCACCCTGAAGCCCTTTGCCACGTACTCTGAGCAAACATCACAATGCAGTGGAAGACAATGTCATCACCATCACAAAAGCACATTCAAATATTGTAGATCAGGTACAACCTTTCGGCAGCCCTTGACATGTTGTATTGGTGATTAACCAGTTATAAACATGAACTGAACAATGTGTTCGGTATCCCTTTGGGACATATTGCATTAAGTCGGATTCGTAATGCCAATCCTGAACCTCCCCCCAAGTGGAAGCCCTGTCGTCTCAATAATTAAACCCAATCATGGCAATAATGCTCTCCAAAAAAGACTTGTTACTCCGTGATTGGCCTCTAAACAAAACAATTGCTGATGTACGATGAAAGCAAAAAGGTCGCGCAGACATCCACAACCAAGGCTGAGACAGCTACCGACAATGCATGACAAAGTCGCGGTTGTGATCGCAAAGGCTTGATGCCTTGCGGCCACGACTGTTGTCAGATTGTTTGCAGTTGCGTCAGTGTTTGTGGAAGCAGTGTGATGGTCGTCTCATGATGCGTTTAAGCGAAGACGGCAGCACCGATGGCAAGGACAAGGCCACCGAAGGAGACCATGTTGCCGGCGGCGGCACCGCTAGCCTGGGGAACGCTGGCGGAGGAGGTAGGGCTGCTGGAGGCACCGGTAGAACCAGCGGGGGAAGATCCGCTGGCGCTAGCACTGGGACCGCTTGACTGAGCACCGCTGCCAGAGGGAGCGGGGACAGTGGAGTTGGAGCCACCAGGAGGAATGACAATGGGGGTGGTGCCAGGGGTGCCAGGAGCGACGGGGGTGGCAGTGGGAGATGGGAGAGGGACGGGGCCAGTGCCTTTTGGTAGTCAGCAGGCTGTACGTGAATGGAGTATTTGTAGGGGCGCAAACTTACCGACAGGGACCTCAGAGGGAGAGGGGACCTGGGGAACGCCAGAGGGAGAGGGGACAGCCGAGGGGACGCCAGAAGGCACAACCGAAGGAACGCCCGAGGGGACGGCAGAGGTGGCAGAGACGGCAGGGGGAGTGGCAGGAGGAGCCTGGATCTGACCGTCGGAAATCTGGCTGATTGGGAGGACGTCGTACTGAGGAGCAGCGGCGACGGCACCGGCCAAGAAAGCGACGGAGATGGTGGAGAAACGCATGTTGATTATGAGTTAGTGGTGGGTGGTTGTATTAAATGTGTAGAGTAGAGGCTGTAACGGAGATAGCGACTGGATGATCGACTCGACGGATCTGGATGCGATGGAAGGCAATTGATGATGATGATGCTGGAGTGGATGGAGAGTAAGAAAGGAGAGGGTGTGGGAGGCACAAAGGCACATCTATTTATTTGCTCGAGGCGTGGGTTGCGCCTGCCTGGGCTGGGTGTCGCAATGGACGGCCCACCGCAGACGGGGGCCGTGCGCCTGCCTTTGGTGACAGCAGGAGCGAGGGAAGGCGGGGCCCGTGTGTTTGGCCGGCACGCCACGCCCGCCCCAACAGTGGATGAGAGGAGGGCCCGGGCGCACAGACGCGGGCCCAAGGCTCGATTGGCAGATGGACAAGCATTGTTCCAAGAATTGAAGCTGCTTTGTTCCTTGGACCGTTGGGCAAGCCTAGTCGGCGGCTGGGTCGTGGCTGGAGTCGCGCCGAATGCCTTCTTTTTTGCCTGCCTTCCCCCCGTCTGCCATTGGACGCCAACACTCTGCGACAACGCAGGTGCTGGGAAACCACCCAACGGCGGCCCAGCATTCTCCCACCCATTCCCAGCCTCTCTGCACCTCTGCCAGGCACCACATCATCAATGAGAAACACCATGAGGAGACCGAGTAAAAAAAAAAAGAGGCGTCGGACGAGGCCCGTCGTCGCCAGTGCCACGCAACACCTCTCTCCACTATCGCCTCGCTTGGTGCTGCTTATCGCGCCGCCAGCAAAACGCCCTCCCGCCCGCCGAGCAGCGGTGCCACTAACACCATGCAGCAAGGCACGCTGCACGCAGACCCAGTGTCCCAGGGGCAGTGCCGCTATTTTTTTTCTCCTCGCTCGATGATCGTTGCCCTGGCTGCGCACCGCCTCGCTATAACACAGGGTTGGTGGTGGAGCAGCCTTGTGTTTGCATGACTGTTGCTGCAATCCCGCCTGGCTGTGTTTCGCGTCCTCCGTCATTCGTTTTGCTAACTTTAGCAACGCTGCCACGCCCGTCAATGGCCCATCACCAGCTACCACTTGGTTTTTTGCCCTCGGGACTCGTCATGGGCCCGTGACATGCGACGCGTGTCCCCTTGCGCTGCACACCACGCTCACCAGCCTCACCGCGAGACATCGTTTTGTTTCCCCTGGCTCAATAATCGCCTTCGCTCCGACGCCCTCTGCTTGTCTATCCCATGCCGATCCCCAACAATGCACTACCACCCAAATCATACCTTGCCCGTCCTCCTGCCCTCCCCCCTTGGCCTGCTGCAAGCCGCGCATATCACGCCCATTAATTCCTCAGGCGCGCAATCTATCGAAACAAAATATCTTGCAATTTGTACCTACATTGGGGCAAAGCGGCTAAAATCCAAGCTACCTCCCCCGGCCGTCACACCACGTCTCCGGACTTGCAGGCGGTCAACCCCATACCGCTAATCTCGCTTCGCAGCACATCGCCTGCTTGCGATAACGAGGTGATTGTGACGTCGTCTGCCTCTTCTCCGATTCTCGACGAAATTGCACAATGCTTGGCTTTTTTCTTTCTCCCCTAGATCCCTGCTTCCCGTCTCCATCTAGACCACGCGTTGATTGCGCGGCGAGCGATAGCACGTTGAATCATAAAGACGGTGGTCAATATCAAAAAGACTATCCCTTATTTCCTGGACTTCTGTCTCCCTTAAGGCGAACCCAATGAAACACAAACACAAAAAGAAAGAATTGTGTCCAGACCCTTTGCACGACCCTCACTATGCTTTCCAGAGCAAACTTTATGCCCCTTGCGCCTGTACCACAGTTCCTACCCGCCTTTCACCATAACCCGCGCGCAGGAAACAAAACAAAAAAACTTTAATTTCCCTCATGTCTCCTAACCAAAAAAAATTGCTCTAGAATCCATTGGAATATTCCCGTCTCTCCCACAGAATCCCGTCTTACGAAATCAAGACTGCCACTAGCATTTCTCGTATTGCGGCTCCTTCCCTTCGCTCGCGCCAGCACCAACGCGCCCGTGCCCTCGGATCGCACACGATAGCGATAAAGAGAGAGGAGATGGAAAGCAAAGGCACCTAGACGCCCTTTTACCCCCCCTTGCCCACCGCCCACATCCTTGGCCTGCACCTCGACTCAAACCGTCACTGCGCAACGCACGTCCGAGCCACACAATAATGCGCAGATCGTGGAGAAGGAGCAAGACCGCGAGTCGCGGGGAGGGAGAGACAATAGAAAAAAATCGTCAAAGTCACCACTGGTAATTGCCGCAATTCATGCCTCTTCTTCACCGCTCACTCAAAGGACCGAGAGAGGGCGAAGATTTTTTTTGTTTGGTGCTCGCCCGTTGCAAGCGGGCAGGTGCAGACGCAGGTGCCCCATGGCTTTCCTGCCCTGCTGCTCAGACTGGGTAAGTAGAGTAGGTAGTGCAACCAACCCAACCCTTGCGCGCCCGTTTTTTTGCCCTATCACTTTATATGTATATATATACCTGTGTTTGCGGTACCCGTCCGCTGGTGCCTATCCTACCTACCTGCCTGCCGCGGTATCATGCATGCTGCATCCGCTCCTAAATGCATAAAAATGCACAAGCTAAGCTAAGCTATTTTACTTATGTTTTTTTTCTTTGGAGCGCACGTGGAGAAGTCCCGGATTCAGACAATCGCCATTGTTGTTGTTGTTTTTCTTTCTACGGTACTAACCACCTGTACCTCCCTCCCCCCCTCATTACCTTACCCCAAAAGCGCATTGATCTCGTCATTACCTTTTCCAAATGGCTAAAATGACCATGACCATGACCATGACCCAAGTTCGTTGGACCCTTGGGGGGGTTTTTTTCTTACCAATGCATTACACATGGATGTTTTATGTATCCTGCAACACTATCGATTCAACGTCTTCTCCTACCAAACCATGCAACCGGCACGCCTCGTCATCATCACAGTGTCTCTCATATGGGATGGATAGCATGTCCATTAACTTTCTTGCTTGTTGAATCTACCAATCCGTCTCATCTGCGCTCTAGCGCCAATGCCCAATTCCCAAACGCCGCTGTAATGCTCGAGGGGAAAGAAGAAATAAACCCGCTAATACCACTTATAACTACACTTTTTCCCCCAACCCAAACATAGCCCTATATATTCACTGGCCTATGTTTTTCTCATTGCTGGATCTTCTTTTCGTTCGTAATCTCATCTCCAGAGGAGTTCTCAGACACGGCCTTGGGCGCCATCATGGGCTCGGGTCCAGTAGGAGTACCAGGTGTTGTCCGCTTGAAGTAGTTATGCACATCAGCATGGTCGTCCTCGTCTGCCTCGACATTTTCCCATCCGTTCTTCTCCGAGAACTTGTGCTGCTGGCGCTCTACCCAGTCCGCGCGCATCTCGTCAATCTTCTGCTCGTAGTCCAGCTTGGCATCGTATCCCTTGTGCTGTCCACGGAAACGCTCCCACCATGAAAGGTGCTTCCAGTGGATGGCAATACCGTGGTACTCGTGCTCTCGGCCAGCTCGAATGTATGCCCATCGACGCTCTTGCTCCTTGAGATCCAGGCCGGTCGTGTCGGGAAGGAAGAGCAGAGTGAGAAGTGCACCAACAAGACCGAACCAGGGGACAAAGTAGAACTTGGTCTGGATGTCAATGTAATTGTAGAGAATGGCGGCGAGAAGTGCACCGAGCTTGCCCCATGCCGCACTGAATCCGTGAGCAGTAGCGCGAACTGGTGTGGGGAAAACCTCGGCAGCCACAAGGAAAGTGACACTGTTGGGTCCAAATTGGTTGAAGAAGGAAGACAGGAAGTACATAGCCTGGAAGCCGTGAATGTTCTCAATCGAAGTGAAGTATTTCAGGGCAAATCCGGGAACCATGAAGAGGACAAAGTCGGCCATGAAACCGACAATCATCATCCACTTGCGGCCGTAGAGCTTGTTGTCAATGAGAACAGAGGCGAGATAATATCCGCACAGCGATACGCCGACGTTGATAAGGTTGTATAGCCAATCAGTCATAACCGACTTGTTGCCAGGTGTGAGGATGCTGATAAACTCGTTCTGGAAAAGCTTGTTGCCATAGAAGAAGACATCGTTGGCGAACCAAGCACCGGCAGTAGCCAGGAGACGGGGGCCAAAGTAGGTGAAGGTGAGCTTCAACGACTGGACATCGTATCCAGTGACATTGGATTTCTTCTTAGAAAGCATCAATTGCTTCGAAGCCGACTTCATCTTGTAGTAACGGAAGTAGACAAGCCACAGCGTTCCAACGGCAGGAATGGCGAACGAGACGCGGTAAGTCCATTGGGCCAAAGTCTTGGAGTAAGGCGGCGATGATCCACCGTGGAAGATGAGGAGCAGGATAATGAGAATGACCTGGTTGAAGAACTGACCCCAACCCTGCATCAAAAAGGCACTGGTGACTTTTCGTCCGCGGTGAAGACGGTCGTCTTTTGTCGAAACCTTTCCAGAGCCGACGGCATTCTCCATACCGGCTGTTGCAGTCATGGGGTATTCACCTCCAACACCAATGCCATAGAAGAAGAGAGCCCATACGTAGCAGATGACCCAGCCGTTCTGAGTAACACCCCAGGCAGCAGTAAGCATCAGAAGACCAACGAACATGATGGTGGCATCCTGAATGAGACCAAATCGACGGCCAAGCCAGTCACCAACGATACCAACGAGAATCTGACCGACAATGATACCGCAAATCTCGAGGTAGTCGACAGCCTGTGTCCATGTCTTGTCGCAGATTTCGTGGGTGCCCCAGCAGTCGGGGAAAGCAGCCTTAAGTAGAGGGCGAACGTTGCCAATGGAGAAGAGGACATAACTGGTAGAATAGTCAGAATATGTCGCTGGATGATGTAATATTGTGCATGGATGACTTACCCTTCCAAACCAAGACCGGCACCAGGGATCACGCAAGTGCGGAAGTAATGGCCAATTGGAGCAAGAGGGTCGTTCTTGAACATGTTCCAGAAGTAGCTGGCTTCGGCCTTTGCTTCCTGTGCATCGACTTGTCCAACGAACCTGACCCGTTGGCCAATGGGCAAGTCGGCCCAGTAGGTTCCTTCGGCAGTGTAGAGATCCTCAGGGTGAAGCAGGGCGTGGAAAACACTAGCCTCGTTCTCGCTCATGTCTTTTCGGATGTCGATGTCTTGGGTGGCTTGATGTTCACCCGTCATGTTGGGTCCGTGAGGGGCAGCGACGCCATAGTCCCTGAGGGATTCTGCCGTGGAGGCCATGGTAGCAATGGAGCAACGAGTTAATGGGAGAAACTCGTTGTTGGCTGCTTTTTGTGGTGATCAGAAATAATGCAGTCTAAAAGCACAGGCCGTGGTCGTTGCCTTTATACGATGGGATGGCGATTCAACCCACGGATCGTCCTTGAAAGATTGGCAAATTTTGCTGGATCCCACTCGACTAGTTCCACGAAGCAGTTGAGACACTACCACGTTGCGGAGAACAGCCTCTGAGTGGTGGGTAGGGATCTGCAAAGACTGGCCCTGGTTGTAGTAGTAATACCGGACGTCCCGATACTGGGACGACTAGTAGCTATATTCCCGAACGGCGGCGTCGGCAGATTACTGGCGTGTTGACGTTGCCGGTGATGGCGCGCTATCCAATACTGACGATTGG